GTGAATGGGTGGATGACTGGATGTGTAAAGCGCTTTGGGGTCCTAGGGACTAGTAAATACAGGCCATTTATCATAACACAGGATGTGCAGGCGACACTTGGGCCACCTTAACTCAAACACGATCTGATTAAAACACCATGACCAGGTTTTCTTCATTGCCAACAAAACACATACTTCTAAGGACAGCTTCATGACTGCTCATCGTGTCTTTGAAATGAGTTCAAACTAGATCAACTATGATGACGAATGGTTCTGTCACTGGAATCAGACAAAGCAAAAGGAAGCCAAGTTGTCCAAACCCCCTCAGGCGACAGCCGAACATGAAATGATCTTTTCATGTCGATTCGATGGTTTCGATAACACAGGATGACAATGCGCGGAAAGAACTGAACAGGAGACACACTCAGGTGTGAAGAGGTTGTTTTGTCTGCCTTCACAAAGACAAAAAAGCAGCTTTTCTTTCTGTCTTTTCTGCCTCGTCTTGAGATAGGAGAAGTCTTTTTGTTGCCGACTTGTTTTGTTTACTCTGAGCATGAATGAGTCCCACTTCTCGGCCTACAGTAACACAGTAAGAGGATCCTTGTGGAATACCTCAGCTAGTGATATCACATTTGTATAGCTGTCAGGACACGGGCCATCTGTGGATCCCTTTACTAAAAAGGCATGAGATAACTAGCACTCCAGAGCTCAGACGAAAAGAGGGCTGCTTTCTCTCCACCTCTCAAACGTTTAAAACAGATGCTATCAGGTTCACAGCTGGCTGGAGGACCGAGCCATATACCCTATCTACTGGCTTCTGTCCTCCTGCAGACAGCCTTGAAAAGACATCATCAGGTGGACCGAGCAAAGACAAAGATGGTCAGAAATTCTGATTAAAACAATAACAGTTTAGCATGTCTTTGGGGTGCAAACAAAAAGAATAGTGTCCTCAGTTTCACACTGTAACACTTAAAACGTCTCATTTTTATACAGCCTTCAGTTCTTAGATGTGTTCAGATCTTGTCAATCTGAGTGGACATAACTGCAACAAGGTTATATCATGATATTAACAATACGCATTGTGTGTACCATCATGTGAATTTAAAAGTTACCTCTTGGATCAAAATGCAAGAGATGACTCTTGTTAAGTTTTTTTCCTTAACAAGATATTTTCATGTAATTTATTTTTCATGTAAACTGTGGGGATTCTTTGGTTGTGTAATACTTTATCCACTTGGAATTTTACTTTCAGGGCAATGCGAATGGACAGGTCATGGACAGAACCATGATACTTATTGGACATAAACACAATGTAAATGTAACACGTGGGGGAAGTTCCCCAATTTACAATTCATTTGATCAGGTTCCACTTTAGTGTTAATCTAGAGAAGCTGCAGCACTATGAGGAAGTTAGTCAAAGTCAAAGTCTGCCTAATTGTCAATAACACAACACATAGTGGACATAGAGTGTTGAGATATTGTTCCTTTTCAACCCACAAGGTGCATATGCAATATGAGGTACAGATATAAAATATATTATACTGTTGTAATAATAAGAAGTACTGACTGTGTAACTGAAAAGGATTATATACAGTAATCAATGATCAAGATCAACATAACTTTTATTTGAAAAACAAACACTAAGTTTTCAAATGTGATACGAGGCTGCCAATGAGACTTTTCTACAAGAGATGGAGAACCTAAGGGTCTGACTGCTCAGATGATCATATTAGCCAAAAATAATGTATTCTTATTCAGATTTTGCAAAGACAACTTTCCATTTGTATTATTAGTATGACTTGTAAATAAAATATATTAAAAGATTTTCTCAGTTTTTGGCTCTGCTTATGATTTTCACCAAGTAGACCAGATTATGCAAATAATCGTGTTTGGAAGTAAAATCAAAAATCCCATAATGTACAAAAAAATAATGGTTGGCGAGGGTACTTGCTCAAAGTTTCTCATGGAAAAATGATGACATGACAAATCCTTTTTTTTTCTTAGGCTCTGGTGTTTTATTCAGAGCTTGTCTGATATTAAGACCTCTTGAGTTTCTGTACTGTTGACCTTATTTTGAGTTGAGTAACTGTATTTCAAGACTCTAGTAGTTACACTGTTGACTAAAATTTTAGAATTACCAACAAATGCAACAGTATTTTAAATGTTTTGTTTACTTAGCATTTCTCTTTCTGTAAAAGTTTATTTTTTTGTAGTATAACTTCTTAAGAAAATAGTCTTTGACGTAAGTTTCTGGAAAATTAGAACTGAAAATTATATTAAATCAATATGGTCCATCCATCAAAAACAAGCCATTGCATATTTCTGTTACTAGAATTAGGCGGGTTAAGAGTCATTTCACTCACAGGTCGCAGGGAAAGCAGAACAAACGAGTCAGACTCTATTATTTGCTCCAAACAAGCAACATGAGTTTCCAGCTGCTTTGTAGGAGGGAGCAGGGGGACCTCCACCTTACACCATGGAAAACAAGTGGAGGCCTTACATCACCTGCCAGCAATTACCAAGAACAGGTGCTGTGACCTCACAGGGCGGCGAGTAAGGGGCCCCACTTTATGGCAAACATCAGTCTGTTTAATGCTTGAGAAGCTGAGCGCCGAGCTAATCTCAGGTAGAGATTCCAGCCTTTTGTGATTCTCAATATTCAGTTTGAAGATCTTTTTTTTAAATTTGTACTCGCGTGAAGTATTACCTGTGTCCCTAACACACCTGTGGCCACGAAACACAACAAACCATCTACAAGTTCTTTTGACTATACAACCGTAAAAAAGTCAAAATATAAGCACTTCCATACAAAAGTAAGCACGTTTGAGGATTTTTGAGGTTTGTGACAAATTGAGAGGAACTCAAAACCTCCTTGACACACACATGTAAATTACTCCACATGCTGTTGGCCTTTCTTTCAAAGCCCCATAGACGTACAGTTTGAGAGGGCTATACAAAATCAAATCACATCAAACAGAAGCTGACAGGTCTTCCTTTGTGCTTTGACAATGTTCTACAGGTGGGGACACAATGGCCAGACTACCTGAAATCCTGCAGAGGAGCATGAGACGTCTGAATGTGTGTGTGACTGTAGATGTTTGGTGGTGGGTACGACACGGAAAGAAAGAAAAATGCCAAATTAGAGCTGAATAGAGCTAAGTGGCAACAAGGAAACTGAAGCTTCGATTTTAGAAGCCACTTAAATATGTCTGTAGGATAGATGGAGGCAACCATAGATCAGGAGATCGAGAGAGTTGTCCAGTAATCGGAACATGAGTAGTAGAAGTGCCCAGCAGGAGAAGAAAAGTTTAATTCCAATAGTTTGTGGTTTGCCCCATTTGTTACTTATAAGCTTTTAACGCTTTTCCTTTAATTCAACCCAGAACCGGTTTGATCCTGGTTCTGATGGAGGTCTCTTCCTCTTAAATGGGTATTTTCCTGTCCAGAGGGTCACCAAGCACGTGGTCAAAGGTGCGATTGTTGGGGTTATAGAGTGTTACCTTGCAATATGAAGCAACTTAAAACAAGTGTTTCTGTGAACTGCTGCTATAAAAATACAACTGCATTGATTAAAATATTTGAATATACTACATATAAATATAGTTGAAATGGCTGGTGAGTGTTATTACTATACCACCTTTATTTATAAAGCACTTTAACATAAAACCAGAGTTCACAAAGTGCTGTACATGCTAATAGCATAAGTAAAGAAAATTAAAATGAGATAAGATAAGATAAAATAAATAACTAAAAAACTAAAATAAATTGAAACATGTTAAAACAAATTGAGTCAACCCCTCTAATCAATCAAAGGCTTCAGCGAATAAAGATGTTTTAAGAAGACTTTTAAATTCAGAAAGAGAAGAGGCCTGCCTAACATGCAAGGGTAGATCATTCCACAACTTTTTATTATTTTTTGAAGTACCACATATCCTTTAATCTAATGATTCCTTATTTAAATTTTAAGTCAACAAATTTTAAGTCAACATTGCTTTTGGTCATTCAATGAGTGAAATCTGCAAAATAAAACAAGACGAAGCTCATTAATTCACTTCAA